CCATTACCAGTTGATCAGTGTTTGCTCAAGATAGAGCCCACCTCCTCGTTTAATGCTAGCTTATGAGACTGAGGAAATAGAGAAGAATAAGAAAAAGGACCTCCTTAATGTTTAAAGGTTTATAGGCAAATGCACTATTAATAGCAACTATATTGCTCTGTTGTCTTTTTAAGCCATCGTGGTAGGGTTCTGCATGGGTAAATGGTTCCTCAGAAGAAAAATGGAATTTTCTGGCCTATTCTGTACTTGTGGCCATGGGCTGAGATCTCTAGCAGTGAAATCTGAGCTGCTGTGTGCATCACCATCTAGAACTTTTCTGGGAAGGCATTTGGTACAAACTCTTTGCTTGTCTTCCTGTCTTAACTTGAACTCTATTGCTTCTAACAGGCACCTACTAGGAGGAGGGTCCAGTGAGCTGGAGGAGCTTACTTCCCTGAAAGTATTACTGAGTGAGGGCTGCGGGCCAGCTCTTGACTATTTCTGTTTTGCTGAAGACCCTGCAACTGCAGTCTATTCAAAGATTGTTGTTCATCATATGCTGTTCACTTAAAGTCCTTCATTAGAATGTTCTCATGTTCTGAGACTATCAAGGCAAAAAGGCAAAATGGATTTTAGGGCTAGAGAAACAATGGGAAGGCTTCTGTATACCTTGCCAGCTTGGAAATCTGTATGAAGTTGATGTCTAACAACAACTTCCATAAGAACAGCAAGCATGTGCTGATGTGTGAGAGCCACAAAATGGGAGACTGGGATGCCAGACCTTGGTTTGGATCTTTACAAGTTGTCCAAAATTTTTCTACCTACATAGTACTTCAGGTTTTTTATTAGAAATATGTATGCAATAGATAAGATATGGAACCATTCTAGGTACCCATTAAGAAGGTACATTGATGAAGAAAAATTTTATATATATATATGTATGTATATATATAATTAAAAAGATAAAAAGCATAAAATTTGTCATTTGCAATAAAAATAGGTACAACTGGGGGATATGATGTCAAGAAAAATAAATGAGACTCAGAAAGGTAACTATTGGCTGTTCTCTCTCATTTGTAGAAATTAAAGGATAAAAATAAAAATATAAATAAAGTAGACTTTAAAGTAGAAGAGGAATATTAGGGACTCAAAAGGGTGTAGGAAAGTAGTGGAGGTGAAGATAAATATTCAATTGATCAGTTCACAAGTTATGCATGTTTGTGAGCTTTTTTGTCTCTGGGAACAAATATTTGATATGTATGCCTTAGAGAAGGAAGAATTTATATTAGCTCATGGTTTTAGAGGTTCAGTCCATGGCTGGCTGGCTCCAAGGCAGGAACATTATTACAGAAGGATGCGATGGAGCAGTGCTGCTTAGTTCATGGTGGCTAGGAAGCAGATCGAGAGAATATTGGCAGAGAATATATGGGGGGAGTCAAATATAGTATCCAAGGTCATGCTTACATGACCCACCCGAATTTATCCAGAACTATGCTTTACTAATCTCTTGGACAACTCCTAAGTCAGTCAAGTTGACAGTTAAGCTTAACCATCATAGTATGCATATATGGAAATATCAGTAAATTCCATTAATCTGTAAAATAGAAGGATATAAAAGTGATGTGTATCTGAGAGGAAGTGATAAAGGTTCACACTGATGAGGAAAGATAGAGGGATGTGAAGATGTGGGAACAAAGACAGGAGGTTTGCTAGTTCCAAGATACCCAGTCATCAAGTTGGGGGTAGATATATTAGCAGAGGCCATGTCAGGGGATTTGCAAATCAGGGCCAGTCAAGGAGAGCTACATTTGCATTGTGACAACTCCATGTTTATACACTTCATGAATGCGCCTCACATACCTTTAAGGCTGAACGGTTTTCTACTTTTTGGTATGTATGCACTGTTCACTTTAAATTTCTGTCACAAAGCTCCACTTTCATTCTTGCATAACTACATATTCTGTGTATGTTTGAATATCTATAGTTATACTGACTACAGTAAAAAAAAGTATGTAATAAAATCACTTGACATCAAGAACATCTTTTTATCTGCTTTGTCAGAACATCATTTAAATAGCTACATTCTGTTAATGCACAGTAGTTAAATAAACTCCAAGATTCTTACTCTGCAATAACCCATTAAATCATCTTAAATACTATGTCATAATGACAACTTGATGCAAACAGATGTGATATTTGGGGATTAAAAAGATACTTTTCTTAAGACGTAGCTTTCTGATTTTATATTCTGAAACTCATTTGCACAGCTGTTAAATCTTTTGCCTCTACTTTCCGTGGGTGTATATCACTTATGTTGTGCTTCACACAAAACATTACTGAAGAGTAAAGGAATATTCCCCAGGACATCATGATATGTACTTTTGTGAGATCTGCACCAGTGTCACTCATTTCCGAAAGAATCATTTTCTCACTCTGGAGAGGTGTTGACATGAGAACATTTTAACAAGTCTCACAGAGCTCTCCATGTCTGGGAGTCAGGGTGAGTCAGCGCAGGACTGTATTCCTCCTACTCAGGTCTAGTAGAGGCTAACAGTTTGCATAATGCACAGCTGCAATTTACTTAGCCACATCTGGATGAAGCTTTGCTTTCTGGTTGTGTTTCAACATCATTAAAATAATAATCAAATACCTCCAGCTCCTGCCTTGCATTGCCATAAATTATTCACAAGAGGTGTAAGCTTTGTAATACTTGAAGTGGCTGTGGCACATGGGTTGGAAGTGAACTTTTGAACTTCTGATTTTATCTGTTGGTATAAAAGTTGGCACAGTTCAAAGTTGTGCATATGATGAACCATCAAAGAGGGAGAACCCATTTGAGAACCATGCGATGCACTGTGTGCGAGGAAGGATAATGCCATTGTCAAGCAGGATTCTTAGACATTAGGTCATAATAGGCACTACAAGTGGGCCCTAATGAACCCACATTCGTATCTGCAGTGAAATTATATGCTGGAAAATGTCCTCTGAAAAGCTGCCATTTTTCAATCTGGAAAGAAGCCGACTGCTGATACAACAAATCAATTGATAAGAAGTGTCTTTATTGCATTCAATAAAAAAAAGCACAACCCCAAATAAACATACACGGCTCATAAAACAAATTGCTCACCTAAAATGAATTACACTCTAAGTTTTTTTGAAGTAAATTACGCCACAGAATATTCAGCGATGTATCCATTCACCAAAGAGTAAGATTATAAACAGCACTAAAAGTAGATGTTTCCACGTTTCTTTTTAGTTTAGCTCTTTTTTTTAATCTACAGGATTACCAAGAGCAAAATGTAAAAGAAAAAAAGTGGTAGAAATGGCCCGTTTTGTGAAATATAGGAGAAAATATACCATCTGTGATTTAGTACAGTTCTCAATATTCCATCTGTGATCTAAACACGGTTCTTAACAAAGGCTGAATCCCATTGTAGTTCAGTATGATTTTTTAAAAAGTTTTTCTAGGAAAACTACTTGGGTGAAGTACTATTATTCTTGGCAGGGAGAATCTGAATGAAATAGTACATTCGGCTGTTAGTTGGCATTGCCTACTGAGCTTTAAAATCTGATCATTAATGAACTGGGGTTTTGCCTGGTCAGCTCACAGCAAACTCACCTGTAAAGGAAGTACATTTTGTTTCTTCATTCATCTAGTAAAAATGTACTTATCACCCAGCATCATATTAGATGGGTTTTCTTTTATAAGGGAATCTAAAATATTAGATTGTATAACTATCTTGACTTAGTCGATGTAGTTTTTGTTCAGTATTTAAGTGAAGCCATGGGGCCAGGGATGTAGCTCAGTGCCTGGAAAGTGCAAGGTCCTGGGTTAGATTCCTAGTTCCAGAAAAAAAAAAAATTAAGCCATGATGATACATTTCACAGTGACTCTGTCTGATGCACTCACCTGGGCAGAAACCTCATGTGGGCAGTTTCCTTGGTCACTTTAGTGTGTGATAAAAGCAGGATCCCTTAACCTGAGCACTGTTGATACTTTAGGCCAGAGAGTATTTTGTTGCTGGGGACTGGCTGTGCCCTGGCCTGTGGGATACTGAATGGCACCTATGGCTCCACTCATGATATTCCAGTAACACCCCCCAACCCGTACCCCACCATGACAATCCACAATGTTTCCAGAAATTGCCAGATGCCTACCTGGGAGAAATTGCTTTTGACTGAAGACCACTTGTATAAGAGGAACCATTAGAATGTCATATTAGCAATTCTTGAAAATGATCCCATTTTCTTTTTCATTGTTGTTACACGATGATTTGTGTGTAGCTTCTTGTAAGCAAAAGGTGATGGAGATTTATCCTAAATACAGGAAGAATAGACCATGAGGAATGGTTTAGGGGAAGTCAAGGCTTTGGAGAGCAGTTTTTGTGCTTGTCCACATCACATACGAGACCAACAGTGCTATTCTCACCTTACACAGGGCGGTGAGACTGTTCTTACACCATTTGGTCTTTGGCTGCCGTCTTTTACTTCATGAGGGATTCTTGATGTGGCGTTGCTAGTCCTTGGCTGGGAGAAGTTTTATTTTACCAAATCTTGCTCTAATTTTTCTTTATCTCTTCTGAAAAGGTTTCCCGGGTCCCGCTGAGGACACATTTGTCTCTCTGTGTCCACACTGAAGACCTCTGCTCACTTGAATTGAATTGGTATTTCTGTCTTGATCACGAGACAGCAAGCAGCTGTTCATCCCACCTTTGCCTTTGTGTTCTAGGTGGGCAGGAGTAGAGTTCCGAAGATACCAGCAGGCTTTCTTTGTATCATGTAGTTCAGAGCTGAGTCACATGGAATTATTTATTTATTTGTACTAGGGATTGAACCCTGGGCTGATCTATATCCTTATATCTTTTTTAACTTTTAAAATTTTGAGATGTGGTCTCCCTAAGTCACGAAATTGCTGAGGCTGAGCTACAACTTGCAGTGCTCTTGTGGCAGCCTTCCGGAACGCTGGGATTACATGCGTGCACCACCATGACGGGCTTCACATACAGATTTCATTTTTCCAGACTCTGTAAGAGAAAATGACAAAACAAAGAAGGTCACAATGGAGTTTGAAGAAGCCATCCCTCAATGGCTAAGCACATGCTAAGTACTTCTGGAAGAAATTCAACGCCAGCGATGCTCAATTTGAGGTTTGTCACGTGGCATTTTGGTACAGGAAGAGCAAACACACTAAGAAAGAAAGTTCCTCAGGCATGCCTAGAAGGTATTATTTAGCTCTTAATTTGTTGACTGTTCTTTCAGTGAGAGTTTAACAAACTTTCCTGCATCCTTATCATCTTTTGTAGTAGTGCTGTCCTGGCACGTGGAGTGGATTCAATAGGAAGAACATGGTGGATATCTCAAAAGTCAGACAAGAAAATTGTGCGGACAGACTAGGTGCTGATGGTCAAATTCATCACAGTGTGTGAGAGGTGCTAGAGCCAGGGGATGTGGGAACTGACCAATGCGAACAGTGGCACTGGGTGGGATTCTAAAAAAGGCTGACCTGTTAATACATACCATTATGATTAATCCAGCAGACAAACACAACATGATCATACCTTTTTTCAGATCACTTGAAAATTCAGTTAAAGATACCAAGTTTAATAACTATTTGAAATTTAGTTAACCATTCCTTTTTGGTATTATTATTTCCCCAAATAGTCTTATGCAAAGGCTATAATCTCATCTTGAGAATTTGTGCTCATGTTTGTGTGGGTTTTTTTTTTCTTTCCAAAATGTTCATATTGAGATATTTCACTCTGCAACTGCAGGGTTAAGCAGAATACATTTATTTTATTTTCTTCTTCAGTGAGTGTGACAATTTGAATAAGAATGGCCAAATTGCTTTCTTTCTTTCGTTTTTCTCCTAAATCAAAATGTCTATTCAGAAGAGGATCACATTGCAGTTCCATTAAACAAAATAACATGTTCTGCTCTGGCATTTAATAGGGCGGAACTCTGCCTTGCCATCTCTCTGCTTTACTGACTTAAGAGCTTACAGAAGGGACATTTTCCTCCCATTGAGAGGTCTTGAGAGGACTTTTCGCATTTTTTCCTTTCCCCAGTGATTTCTACTGCTTCATCAGGTCTTGGGTATGATAAATGACATGGGACTTGTGGCTTATATGCAAATTCAAAGAAAGAAAAATGGGAGATAGAAAAAAAATCTCACTTCTCTCATCTAAAATAATAAACTTAATTTAATTGACTCATGGGTTTTTTCTTATGAAACAGCAAACCTACTAGAAAAGAGACAAGGTAATAAATTGTGAAGAGATCTTTGCAAAGGGTTGTTACTGGTTTATATTGTAATGATTTAAGTAAAGACATAAGCTTGACTACACCTGGCTAGCTCTTGATCCAGCTGGTCCAATAGCTGGTCATTGGTAGTGACACCAAAAGATGCAATGGTTTGTGATGTTTCCATTAAATGTAGCTTGTCCCTAAGCATCAGGCCAGACAATTAATGCTGGGCTGTCTCTGCATTTGGCTAAATCACAGATTCATGTTTACAGGTTGTATACCCTCTGGAAGAAATAAGCTTTTATTAAGCTTCTATTTATTAATAAGTAGCTTTTATGAAGCTCTTATTTGACTTTCTATTGTCTTTTAGGTGTCCCAACACCCCATTTGAACATTTTGATTGATTGATTGTAGTTCTGAGGATGTAATCCAGGGCCTTCTACATGCTAAGCAAATGCTTTATCTTGGCAATGTCTCCAGCTCCCATCTAAAAAAATTAAATTTTATGATAGAGTCTTCTTCACTTTCCCAGGTCAACCTCGAGCTCATGATCCTGTTGCTTCAGTCTCCAGAGGCAGCTGGTATTGCAGGTATTCACCCCACCACACCTGTTTGCCTGTTGTGTTTTAAGAGAACAAGCATGTGATAGACTTCTCAGGGTTAGAAAGCAGGGTAATGTTCCTCCTATCCATACCCTTGTAAGTTTAAAGATTATTTAAAATTATAAAAGCAATGTAATACCATAAAATATATAGAAAACAGAAGAAAAGTCTTAGAAAAATCAGTGAACAGGAAGATGTATGTTTTATTATTGATGAAAAGAGGGGAAATTTGGCAGCAAACTAAATCTTCATTAAGAGGGAAAGAGTTACACAGGGACGCAGTTGACATGATCACATTAGGGAAGTTGATGCAGCTACTAACAAATAAGGTAGGTGTTCGTGTACTGATACAGAAATTCTTTTCAAGACATATTTTTAATTTAAAAATAATTGCAGAACAACACACAAAGGTGTGACATTTTTATTGCTAAAGCAACACAATTATGTGTTTCTATAACAGTGTATGTGTCTGTGCTAATGAATAGCAAAAGGTCAAAAAAGATGCTTACTGCTATGGAGGGATCAGGCAATGGAAAGATAAGGAAGTATTTTTGCCTTGCTTTAAATATTTTATAAGAATATGTTGTTTTAAACTAGTATGTTTGAAAATAAAAATCAAATATTTGTTTAAAATGAAGGGGAAAATTAGAATTCTGAGTATTCCTTCCCAAACAAAAGTAGGGTGGCAATTTTGTTATGATTTACCTTCTGCTGTTTTATTTGCACCTCTTTTACCTAGTTGTGTTAAGTGTGAAAACAACATCTAGGAAAACCAAAGTGTGCCACTGTCCATCAGTCCTGTGTCGTCATGTAGGTGTTTAGGAAATGCAAGAGGTTCAAAATGAAACAGAAGGAAAATGAAAGTCTCTCCTCTTTGTCACTGAGCATCTTCACTTTGCCTTTTTTCCTCAATTTCCCAAGGACCACTGCAGGTAATGCTTTCCTAGGCTTCTTTTTAAGGAAAGAAACAAAAGAAGGATCCAGCCATCCATCTGTATCTCTGGGTTTTGCACTGATGAATTCAACCAACATCTCATTAAAATATTCAGGAAGAAATAAAATAAAATAAGATATTCAGCAAGAAAATGCAGCTCTGCCTGAACATGTACAGAATTTTTTCTTGTTGTGATTCTTTAAACCAGACAGTGTAACAGCAACTTAAACACATTGTGTTAGGTATGGTAAGTCACCAAGAGGTGATGTAAAGCATTTGGAAGGATATCATGTTGTATGCAGATACTATCCTTTTTATAGAAAACACTTGAATATTAATGGATTTTGGTGTCCAGGAGACTATTAGAAGCAGTGACTACACACACCCACACACACACACTAATTTCCACAGCTAATATTTAGTAGGTAGGTACATGACTATTCCACACCCTTTACAGTACTTTGAGCGAGAGTACTTATCACCTAGTCTATGAGTTACCGTGTTGCTATCCTTTTACTGATAGGGAGATGCAGCACAGAGATGCTAAGGAAACTACTGACAGTCACCACCAGATGAGGTGTAGCTGGAATTCATGGCTAGAGAATGTGGCTCTACACTGCCCAGTGACAACAGATCTTTAAAATCACAGCCCTACAGTGTCCTACGTCTAATGCTTATTCACATTTCACACAGGAGGTCAAGCATACCTGGGCTTTTTTTTTATATCTGTGCTTCTTAACCTGCTGTTTTCCTTTAAAAACTACTTTAAGAACATCTTATTCAAAGAAAGTTTATTCATTTAACACATTACAGAGTTTTCTATGGTAAGGAGAAAACTGTCCATGAATGCTACAATTATTTCCTAGATTTGTTGCTGCTCCTCCTCTTCTGGGGTCAGTTTCGAGGCATGTATTTTCTTAGACAATACTCCATTTTGTTCATATCTATTTTATAATTTTTATTTCTGCCCTCACAGTTGTTATCTGTGTGTCCCTCAGAAATATGGCTCTATTTTATTGGGTTTTTTCTTCTCAACTTCTTGAGTTGAATGTCTAAGTCAGTTATTTTTTTCCTCATTCAATTATGTAGGTTTTAATGTCATGAATCATAAAAGAACATATTTTCCCCTGAAATCCTACTTTAAAATAACCAGGAGTTACTGGAGAGATAATTTAAGATTTGCTAGGGGGTTGATTTTTTTCTAATTTACATGTCTTGCCATTTTTTTCCTATCTTATATATCCTTTTGGGCAATTATATGCCTTTATTTCTGTGCTGTCAAGATGTCTGACATTTATCTCCTGCACCCATATTTCCTACAATAACTTAATTTTATTGTATATTTAAATAAATGTAACACTTATACATAGCACCTGATCCAAAACTTTTTATTTTAAAGGGAGAAAAAACCCAACATTTCAAAACAAGATAACAGGAGGGTAACAATGGTTAATACATTGCATATTGTTATCCTTAAATTCATTACTCAGAGTATATGATATAAGCATTTAGCTGTCCAACAATATTAGCACAAACCTAAGAGAAATTAGTGGTATAACTATCTTAACTACCATATATATTCTATTTTCCTTTTTTTTTTTTTTTTTTACTTTTCCCTTCCTTCTTCTCTTCTTTCTCCCATTATCAGGTATTTAAAATTCAATATCATTGTTCTGTTCTTCATCATTTTTGGTGAACATAGGTACTGTGTTCTATCTATACTACACTTTCCTTGATTGCTTCTTTATTGTTGGACATTCGGGTTGCTTCTAGTTTTGCTTTCTCCGTATTATAATGTTATTACTGTTTTTAAGGGTGTGTCTGTCAATCCCTTAGTTTGTACTATTTCTGCAGTGAGAGAACTTCTTGAGACATTGCGAGTGTGGGTTCATTAAAGCCTTAGACAGTTTGCAGAGCTCAGCAGAGCGTCCCTATATCCTGCAGGAATCGAGTTAGACTGCCTCCGTATGGCAGCCACTGTAACTGCATTGCGGAGTCATCCTCTTTAAGTAGGCATGGTATTGGTTCCTTTTGATGTCCAGCACAGTTCGTGTAGTCAACACCAGAACCTTTTCTCAAGCCATCCCTGAGACTGACGACGACATTGCCATAAGAGGACCATGGACTTTAGACTGCAAGTGCAGCAGAGATTTTTTTCTTCTGTAGGATGCTTGCCATGTATTTATCTGTGCTGTAACTCACCTACAGTATTTTACCTTGAAGGAACACTCTGTGTATCAGTCAGGGTTTACTAGAGGAACAGATATAATACAAGATAAACAAATGTACAAGAAATTACAAGTTGGGCTTACAGTTGTCAGCTACAGAGTTGGATAAGGAAGCGTGCAGAGGGTGTCTGCACACTGGAGATTGAAGAGCTCAGCCCGGGGCCTGGAGCTCGCTGCAGTGTCCATGCAAGTCCGTATCAAAAGGTTGATGGGTCTGCAACGAAATGCTGAAGAATCTACGATGAAGGCTGGAAAGCCAACACCAGAAGGCTGAAGAGTCCCGGAAGGGAAGCCCAACAGTCTGCACCAGAAGCCAGGAGACGACAAAGCTGAAGGCGAAGACTGGAGCTCCTCCGAAGAGCCAGCAGCCAGCCCTTCCTCAATTCCTTTTTTATGCAGTCTACCTGCTCTAGGGGGATGGGGATGGTCCTCTACACCCACACCCTTTGCATGCCTGCCTCTTGCACAGGCTTAGGATGAATACAAAGTAAGCACCCTGGCTCCCTGCTGAGTCACATAGTTAACCTTCTAAACTTCTCAAATTAACACAATAAACAACATCCCAGAAGGGTAAGGGCGTGTCCTTTTTACTCCAAGATGCAGAACTGCTGAGTCACTTAGCCAAACCTCTGGACTCCCCAAGTTGACACAATGTATCAACCATAACACCCTGAAACACTCCCCTGCTAATCAGTACCCACCAAGTGTTAGCGGCACACACAGTGCTACTTTTGGGGCTGAGCAGTGGACCTGGGCTCAGACTGACCCGCTGACTTGCTCACACGTGAGGCTGGGGAGATAATCCCTTGTTGTGAAGTAAGATTTTACTGCCTTGGCCTTGGACACAGTGTGACTCAATCTGACCCGATTCTCTTGTGCAAAATTGGTTCAAGCCAGAAGCCTGAGCCCCTCTCTGGGCCCTTCCTATTCCCTTTCCTTCCACTCCTTGCCAGTGGTACTGGCCTAGTGTCACTTGTGGCCACCTCCCTCTCCTGCCACCACCAGGGCCTTGGACCCCACTGGCTCCTAGCTGGCTTCTGGCCTGCACTTTTACCTCTTTCTTTGCTTCCTGATCTGCACTGCAGAAAGAGGGGTTTTACTAAAATTTCTAACATGCTTTCTGTTTTGTTTTGGTTGGTGTAAAAACCCTCAATAGACTCTATAGTTCTTGTGATAAAGTTCAAATGCATAGAAAGAACAGGCTAAACTTTCTTTCCTGCCTCTGGGTCCTTGTGAATGTTCTCCCTTTCTTTGGAACACATGTCTCTCCCCTGGGGCCAAGGTCAGCAATCCTGCACCCTAACCTTAGACTGTACTTCTCTGAGACATGTTCCCACGTCGTCTGGGTTTCCTGGATGTGGGCCTCCAATAGGCCCCTAATCCGCAATGACCACATAGGATTAATCCTAGCCAATGAGACTTCATGCTCTGCAAAGTCAAAGGTGTCTTGATCTCATTTGTTATATGTGTAAGTAATTATGTTTTGCTGCTAATAACAGGAGAGAGACTAAACATCAAATATATACAGAAATATTTCATATATTATCATTTACAGCAGCTGTGGCAAAACTATGGCGTGTATGCGGAAGCAGGGTGTTTGTTTCATTGAAAGCTCTGTTACTGTGGTTTTTTAAAAAATATATGAGTTATTTTTTTCTAAACCAAAACCTCAGTATTCACATTTAATGCAGTATTGGCACTTTGAGATAAATAAGTAGGTTTTCCATTGCAGTTGGGGCACTTGGTCTGTAAGATGTTCGCATCACTGGTCTGAACAGAAGTAACTTAGAGCTGGTATGATTATTTTTCAGGCACTTTGGAAACATAGGCTTCCTCTGCTTTGTTCTGCATTCTTAGCCC